CCTGGTGGCTGGGTGTGCGCTCCAGGACGCGGGTGTTCACCAGTTCACCCCGGCCTACGAGCGCGTGACGCACTGCACGTGTGCCCGTACGGGCCGCCACTTGGCTACCTTCACTCGGCAGCCGGGGTCGGACCTGTACACACTGACCACTGAGTCCCCTCAGGTAGCGGTCGCTGCGTCTGCGTCTACGTCTGCGTCAGGTCAGCTGTCGGCCCCCTGCTCGTGTCGCTCTCTGGCGCACGAGACTGTCCTCTGGCACCACCGACTTGGTCACCCGTCTGTGCAGCGCCTTCGGGCCATGCACTCCAGGTACCTTGTCTCTGGTCTTCCCAAGGTTCTACCTCCTCTCCCTCCCTCGCCTGCTCCTCCCTGTCTTCCCTGTGTCGAGGGGCGGCAGCGCGCCGCTCCTCACTCCTCCTCCTTTCCCCCGACGACTGCTCCATTGCAGACGCTCCACATGGACGTGTGGGGCCCAGCCCGCGTCCGTGGTCAGGGTCAGGAGAGGTACTTCCTGATAGTTGTTGACGACTACTCGCGCTACACCACAGTCTTCCCCTTGCGCACCAAGGGTGAAGTCCCTGATGTTTTGATCCCTTGGATCCGCAGAGCTCGTCTCCAGCTCAGCGAGCGTTTCCACTCGGACTTTCCTGTCCTGCGCTTGCACTCTGACAGAGGTGGTGAGTTCTCCTCCGACCTCTTGGCAGCCTACTGTGCTGAGCACGGCATTGAGCAGTCGTTCACGCTTCCGGCCTCTCCACAGCAGAATGGGGTTGCGGAGCGCCGCATTGGCCTAGTCATGGAGGTCGCCCGTACCTCCTTGATCCATGCGGCTGCCCCCCACTTTCTGTGGCCGTTTGCGGTCCAGTACGCTGCGCATCAGCTCAACCTCTGGCCCCGTGTCTCCATGCCGGAGACCTCGCCCACACTGCTGTGGACGGGGGAGGTTGGCGATGCGTCGCGTTTCCGGGTCTGGGGATCTCGAGCCTTTGTCCGCGACGCTTCCGCGGACAAGCTCTCCACCCGCGCTGTTCCCTGTGTCTTCCTTGGCTTTGTCCCTGACGCGTCTGGTTGGCAGTTTTACCACGCCACCTCGCGCCGGGTCCTTGCCTCTCAGGACGTCACTTTTGACGAGTCTGTCCCCTACTACCGCCTCTTCCCCTACCGCACTGCCCCACTCCCCCCCCCCGCCTCTCTTCCTCGCACCAGGTGCTGCTGTGGTAGACCCCCTCCCCCCTCAGGGTGCCGCTCCCTCAGGTGTGTCCCAGGTAGACCCGGTTGACCCTGTTGAGGTAGCTGTTGACTCTCGTCCTGCTGGGGGTGCGGAGCCTGGGGGTGCTGAGCCTGGGGGTGCTGAGCCTGGGGGTGCGGAGCCTGCGGTTGCGGAGCCTGGGGGTGCGGAGTCTGGGGGTACTGAGCCTGGACGTACTGAGTCTGGGGGTGCTGTGCTTGGGGGTGCTGAGCTGCAGAGTTCTGGGTCTGGGAGTGCTGAGTCTGGGGGTGCTGAGCCTGGGAGTCCTGCGCCTGGGGGAGCTCTCTCCTCGGAGCGGCTGCGTGAGTGGTACTCAGAGTACTGCAGCCTCCGGAGAGGTGCCTCTGGGACCAGGAGTGCTGCTGCGACTGGTGCTGGTGCCTCCCCTCCTCAGCGGGAGCTGCCCTCTCTTGAGCGGATCCGCGAGTGGTACGAGCGGCGCTGCACTCTCCGGAGTGGAGCGCCTGGTGTCGCGGACCCTGGTGCTGGAGGTGCTGCTGCTGCTGCTGGAGGCCCTGCTGGTACTGCGGACCCTGGGGTTGGAGCTACTGCTGGTGCTGCGGACCCTGGAGCTGGAGCTGCTGCTGGTGCTGCGGACCCTGGAGCTGGAGCTGCTGCTGGTGCTGCGGACCCTGGAGCTGGAGCTGCTGCTGGTGCTGCGGACCCTGGAGCTGGAGCTGCTGCTGGTGCTGCGGACCCTGGAGCTGGAGCTGCTGCTGGTACTGCGGACCCTGGAGCTGGAGCTGCTGCTGGTGCTGCGGACCCTGGAGCTGGAGCTGCTGCTGGTGCTGCGGACCCTGGAGCTGGAGCTGCTGCTGGTGCTGCGGACCCTGGAGCTGGAGCTGCTGCTGGTGCTGCGGACCCTGGAGCTGGAGCTGCTGCTGGTGCTGCGGACCCTGGAGCTGGAGCTGCTGCTGGTGCTGCGGACCCTGGAGCTGGAGCTGCTGCTGGTGCTGCGGACCCTGGAGCTGGAGCTGCTGCTGGTACTGCGGACCCTGGCGCTGGAGCTGCTGCTGGTGCTGCGGACCCTGGAGCTGGTGCTGCTGGAGCTGCCGCGGGTGCTGGTGCCGTCTCTCCTGGTTCTGGAGTCACTGAGCGGCCCCGACCGTACTTCGTTCCGCTTCTCCAGCAGGTTCTTGGTCAGCCTCCTCCTCCTTGTCCTGCTCCCTCCTTAGAGTGTCCTCCGTCCGTCACGTCGCAGTCGCAGTTACCGCCTCCCTCGCCGCTCCCCGGTCCTTCTCCTTACTCTGGTCCCACGGGAGGTCTTACGGAGCGTCGTGAGCCTGAGTCTCGTCCTGTGTCGCCTGCGTCTCGCTCTACGTCGCCTGTCCGTGCTGCTCGCACTGGTCGTCGTGTCCCGCGTGAGCGCCCTCCTCCTGTCCCTGGCACTCACTACATGACTCTGCGTCCCTCCACTGCTCCTCAGCGTGTCCTTCTGCCGTCTCCTCCTGCGTCCTCTCTTCCTGAGCTTCCTGACCCGGAGTCTGACTCCCTTCGTGCTGCCCGTCCTACTGTCACGCGTCTCCTTGCTACTATTGTCACTGACCCTACCTTTGAGTCCTCTGCTGCGTCTGCTCTCGTTGCTGAGTTAGTTGACTTTGCTGCCGCTTGTCGTCTCGACTACGCCGCTAGCCTAGTTGCTGAGTCTGAGTCTGAGTCTGTCTGTCCTCCGTCCGTCGGGGGTGAGTGTGCTCTTGGCACGGACGTCCTTGACGACAGGCAGGAGGAGTTCCAGTGCTTTGCTGCTGCTTTACCTCATCTCGTGTCCATGCTAGTTGCCCCTGAGGGAGACCCGGATGCACCAGACATCCCGACCCCGCGCTCTTACGCAGAGGCGATAGCGGGTCCCTACTCCTCTCAGTGGCAGACAGCCATGGACGCAGAGATGGCTTCCTGGAAGTCCACAGGCACCTACGTCGACGCTGTTCCCCCACCAGGGGCGAACATCGTCAGTGGCATGTGGATTTTCAGGGTGAAGCGGCCGCCGGGTTCTTCGCCTGTCTTCAAGGCGCGTTACGTTGCTCGAGGCTTCAGCCAGCGTGAGGGAGTCGACTTCTTCCAGACCTTCTCCCCCACCCCGAAGATGACCACTCTTCGGGTGCTGCTGCACATAGCCGCTCAGCGTGACTACGAGCTTCACTCTCTTTACTTCAGCACAGCTTTCTTGCAGGGTAGTCTGCACGAGGAGATCTGGCTGCGCCGCCCTCCTGGCTTCACTGGGTCGTTTCCTCCTGGTACCCAGTGGAGCCTCCGCCGGCCGGTCTACGGTCTCCGCCAGGCACCACGTGAGTGGCACGACACACTGAGGACGACACTTGCGGCACTTGGGTTCGCGCCTTCTACTGCTGACCCGTCGCTGTTTCTGCGCACAGACACTTCGTTGCCGCCGTTCTACATCCTCGTGTACGTCGACGACTTGGTCTTTGCCACTGCTGACACTCAGGCTCTCGCCCACGTGAAGTCGGAGCTGCAGAAGAGACACACGCGCACAGACCTGGGTGAACTGACAAGCTACCTTGGCTTGCGGATCACCCGGGACAGAGCACGGCGCACCATTACCTTGACTCAGTTACACATGGTGCAGCAGGTCCTTCAGTGCTTCGGCTTCACGTACTCCTCGCCTCAGTCCACTCCTCTGCCTACCGGTCACTCGCTCTCAGCTCTGCCTTCGGATGAGTCCGTAGAGCCGAGTGGCCCGTATCCAGAGCTTGTGGGCTGCCTCATGTACCTGATGACCTGCACTCGTCCTGACCTTGCATACCCTCTTAGCATCCTTGCACGCTATGTCGCTCCTGGCCGTCACCGGAAGGAGCACATGGATGCCGCTAAGAGGGTGTTGCGCTACTTGTGCAGTACGTCGGGCATGGGGCTAGTGCTTGGAGGGCGAGACCGAGTTGTTCTCACTGGACACTCAGACGCTTCTTGGGCGGACGACCAGGCCACTCAGCGGTCGTCTCAGGGTTACACCTTCAGCCTTGGCTCCGGTTCAGTTTCTTGGCGTTCTACACGTTCTTCTTCAGTTCTCAGCTCCAGTTGTGAGGCTGAGATCTACGCCACAGCCATGGCGGCCCAGGAGCTACGCTGGCTCACCTACCTGCTGACCGACTTGGGAGAGCGGCCTCGTTCTCCTCCAGTGCTGTACGTCGACAACAAGGCTGCCATTGCCTTGTGTGAGGAGCACAGGCTGGAGCACAGAACGAAGCACATCGCTCTGCGGTACTTTCTGGCTCGTGAGCTGCAGCAGCGTGGTCAGCTTTGTCTGCGTTACGTGGCCACTCAGGCCAACACTGCTGACGTGTTCACCAAGGCGCTTCAGCCTTGTGACCATCAGCGCTTCTGTACTCTTCTAGGCCTTGTGCCTACTGGACCTCACTTGCTTACTTCTTGACTTTGTTTGTACTGTGATCTCTATATATATACCTGCATGCTTTCACTTGCTAGGTTGTGATCACTGTACCTCTTGTTATATTATGAAACTGCATGTGAACTGGTCTTGTGACCACTTGCTTGTGCTCGGAATTTGTGTGGTATCCTTGAGATCCACCCTGAGCTTGTTTTGCCTTGCTTTGCTTTGACTGGTCTTGTGACCCTCTGGTTGTCCCCCACTTCGCCTATGGGGGTGTGTCAAACATTGCATGTTTATATTGTGTAGGCTTTAGTGGGTTTAGCCTTAGAGGGTACACAAACTTAGGGTTTCCTACTTGTACCCAACTTCCTGCTAGTTCATCCATTCTCGTTCTATTCTAAGATTCTAACACCCACTAGCCGATGCACCGGGTGTGACTGCCGCCCCATTTCCCCATGCCTTATTCTCACTCCCTCTCCCCTCACCTCCCCTTTCACCTCTCCTCTTACCTCCCCCCTCACCTCCCTTCATGCCCCCTCACCCTCCCCTCACCTCCCTTCATCCTCTCCTCCCCTTCCTCCCTTCCTCCCCCCCCCCCCGCCGTACCTTCTTTTCCTTGATCGGGTTCCCCAATCGCCTCACCTCTCTCTTCTCCCCACCGCACCTTGTTCGGCGGGTACCACGGGTTGAGACCGCTGCCCACGAGCGCGAGTAGGTTGGAGCGAAAGAGCATCTCCACCTTGCCCACGCCGCGCCCCTCAAACTCGCGCCGCTGAATCGTCTCCTTCAGCGGATCGCAGCAGAACACGTGGAAGCCGCTGTGCGTCGCGTACGTGAAGCACGTGTCGTCCTGGTTGAACCGCACCGGCGGGAGTAGAGGCAGCGGGGCCGCGGTGGCGGGCGCAAAGACAGCGCCCGCGGAATCAGCGCCCGCGGAATCAGCGCCCGCGGTATCAGCGCCCGCGGAGTTTCTATTGGCAGAAAGTTTCGCATGCATTTTCTTCACCCGCTGACTCGCCAAGAAAATCGCGAAAGGATCCGTGGGGGCGAACTCCGCTCCGCCAACTTCTCCGGGGGACTGCGCGCTCAGCATGGTGTCGACAATCCCAAGGCCTGACTCGCTATGTCCAAAAGCCTCGAGGGTGGAAGAAAAATAGAGGCACCTGCAAAAGCCGCATGACGACACACGGCAGATTCCTCAGCCGTAGCAAAAAGCGGCTGATACGGACGGTGAAAAGGTGAAAAATACCGAGAGGACAGCGACAGCGACAAATAAAGGGGTGTGCAGCGGAGGAAAGAAGCGTAGGAGCAGCAAGCAGGGAGACCACTCGAATTGGCAAGTTCCATTGTGCTGTCGGGCCAATCTCCCGATCCGTCGAGAGAGCGACGACGGGACCGATCCGTCGCCCCAGGCAAACTCGAACGACATCGAGAATTCCGTCGTGACAGACAATGGCATGGATTGTCTGACCATGCTGCTCCCACCCACCTGAGCGCGAGGCTCTGAAAACCTCGAAACAAATCGAAACGGGCTGAAGGCCACACGACAGGTGTAGTGCGCGCATACAAAGCAGCAAAACATCTCGCGGAATAGCGTGAGGGCGTGTCCCACGACGACGTTTACAGTTCATTCTGAACGTTGTAACCCTGTTTTCCATTTGTAACCCTTTGAAGTACGATACTGTACAGTTGCGTCGTCAATGACACACCTGAATGACTAGATATTGACGTCTACAGTATCGTATTACACACGTTAAAAAATCGCTACCATGGTACGGAATTCAACTCGTACCGTGTCCTGCAGTCCGTTACCCCAATATGTGATTTCACCCATCCCTCTCTCGCACGAAACGAACTTTGCATTTGGCATTTTCGTTTCTGGGGGTGCGAGCCCCGTCGAATTTGGCGAGTCGATTCGCAACTGGGGCAGGTTACCACTCGCGGCCCAGGTGAAAACGGATGACGAGTTTTGTGTGGGCGGTGCAATGCGTCCGCGTGGTGCAGTTTCGTTAGGCGCTGTGCTGACACGAGGCGGTTTATTTTCGTGAGACTGTACACTCTTTTGCTGACTCGTAGTTACGTTAAAAAATATAGATTTTTCCCAAAACGACGACGTGGGACACGCCCTGAAAATCCGTCAAAAGCATCTAGTTTGCAGGCAATTCGTTTAGAAAAGAATGTTAGGGCGCGTGTGTTCCGTCAAATTTGACAAAGTTTATGCTTTGGGGGCTAATATTTTTTTGAACTTAAGTCGAATGAAATTCGACTTTCCTTGTAGCGAAGTTCGAGAATTGCAGGAATAACACTTCAAAGATGCAATCACACACGCAAGGTCGAACACCAGTACACACGCACCTCATTTTTCCACCAAAAAAAAAAAAAAAAAAAAGCTGCAACGAACAAGGGAACTTTTTTATGGAGAAACCAGGATCGCCATGCATATTTTTATATTATTATCGTTAACACGATTACCATTGTTTACCTTAACTCAAAAAAATGCTTCTTGTTATAAAACAAGCTCAAGTTAAGGAGCCAAGAACATGTTTAGTGCTAAAAGCAGGCTTTTGTGGCCACCTGATGCATTAGACGGGCCCGTTGGGCCCATCTGATCCATCAAAACTTTTGAAGTTATTGTTACGAATAGTCAAATTGAGAAGCCACACTATGGACTCCTACTTGTAGCAAGAACGGAGAACTCAGAAGAGAGTACGAAGACGAAGGGTCGAAAGAGACGCGAACGGTTGCAGAAGCATCTGGACCGTCAGAGCAGACAGCATCGGGCAGCTGCAGAAGAGAGGAAAGGGGCGGGAACAGTTTCGTAATTGTACGCGCCGCACGGTTGGGTCTTTAAATTTGAATAAGGGAATGTACCCCTTAGAGTACATGCTTAGCTAAGACGCTTGGTATTCCTTTGTACTCTTATATATACGATTGTATTTGCATGTTTTCATTATCTCAGTCATTTCACATTCACTCTGATCTGAGGTCAAGGGCCCACCACCACCATAAGATTGTGTGCAAAACTTCTTGTGGTGACCCTAGGGACGATCAACTTCTGATCGCAACATCGTATGAGAGCGACGCAGGAATCCATCGCATTACTGTTGGAATAACCGAAAGGTTATTATAAGCATTCCCGAAGGCATCCCACTAACGCATCAGCTGCTAGCAGAACCCGACATTGTACCAGTACCGCAATAGCTTATATAGAGCATACGGAAGGACGAGGGTCACCCGAAGGTCAACCGTCGAGGAGAGCCAACGGTCGTGACCCTTGCCGACCAGTAACCGCGCGACAGTTGTTCATTGCCGCGTGGTAATCGTCGAGAATGGGAATAGTCGTGGTAACTGTAGTTATGCAATACAGTTAATAAGGGAATGTACCCCTCAAGGTACATGGCTAGCTAGTTTGCTATTTAATCCCTTGTACTCCTATCTTTTAATTATCTTATTCTCCTTCGATTATTATTTAACAAGGTCACTACAGAGACTTCATTGTCTCCTCATATCAGCAGACTTATCCTATTCACTTGATCCTTCGGTTATATTAGCATAGTATGAGAGCTAGGGTGGATTATAAGTTCTGCCAAATCTCTGTTCTACTTAGAACAAACCCCTTATAATCTTCTTCAATACATCACAAAATCTGCATCATCATGGCTCCTGAAGGGAAAGCCACTGCAGACTCACCGGGCCCACCACCAGCAACGACTAATGCGCCATCAGCGGTGACCTCCGTCAGCGCCGCTGTCGTCGAGCAACTAGTAGCTCGCATCAACGCCTTCGAGAGCCATCAAGCCACGAGCATCGACGGCTCAAGCAATGCTAGAGGAGTTGTTGGACTCCCCCTCCTTGTAGAAGACTGACGCGTCAACTCCGAGAGGTCTTTCACCTTTGACAACCGTCAAGGTTCAGCTCTAACACAAGACAATCCGCCACGAGCTCAGTCAGAAGGAAGTGCTACCATGCAAACCAAGTTCGTTCTGACTTCAAAATTGAAGACCTCAATTCCCTTTGATGGCAAGGATTTCTACATTTGGAGCTTTGAATTCGAGCTTCTCGCAACAACCGCTCAGATTTGGATGTTCTACGACGGGAGCTTACCTTTTCCTTCCGAAGGAACCATCCAGGCGAAGCATCAATACTACCACGAATCCCTCCTCGCGTACACCGCTTTCCTTCAAAATCTCTCTCCCGAAGAGCAGCTTGTCATTCATCCCTACAAGACAGAGTGGGCTCCCGCGCAAGCGTCCTGGGAACACTTGCGCAACTCATACATGGCAACAGATCCAGTTACAATGAGTCGCCTGCTCAGTCAACTAACTTCGGTTAAAATGAAACAAGAAGAGAAAGCCGGACCGTATGTTAACCGGTGTCGCAATCTGCGCGACCACGTCAAGAAGTGCGGCGGAACTGTTCCCGACGACATGTTCATCTCGATGGTCATCTCAGGACTCGGCCCCGACTGGCGACAATGTCAGTCACTACTCCACGCTCGAGCAACAATTTCAGAGTCTGCTCTGTGCGCCACACTCCTTTCGAAGCAAAAGGAGATTGACCTGTACAATGAGAAGAATGTCAAACAGGAAAAGATAGTCTTCTACGCCGGAGGATCTCAAGGGGAGCAACGTGGAAAGAAGGGAACGTTCTGCAAATACTCCAAGAAGCTTGGCCACTCCATCGATCAGTGCTACAAACGAAAGGCCGCTGACGAGAGGCGCAACTCCTCCGGTTAGCAACCTTCGGCGCAGCCGATGCCTCCCGCCGCGACCTCCACCGTATCACCTCCCTCCGTCGCCAGCACCTCCCAGACTTCTGCTCACACCACGATGAAAGACAAGGGCAAGGGGACAATCATAAGCTGCATGGCGCGTCGTCGTAGAGGTGGCCGATACTACGACAACGTCGCGTACCCGCTTATCGCGTCGATCGACCCCATTTTGCCCAATCCAAACAATGATCCTACCATCTACAGCTGGATCGTTAAAGCATCTAACATCCCACCTGATTTCGAGTTGCCTCCTCCAACCCCGAAATCTCCTTCGAGCATCTCTGCAAATAGGTACTTTGCCTTCTCACCGTACACAGGGGACATAGACCGCGTCGTCACGCCGAGAATCGCCAACATCGCGCGGCAGAACCATGAAAGCATCAATACCTGGTACCTTGACAGCTGCTGCGGACAACACATGGTGGGGTCCTCGGCGTTTATCACCAACTCACGGCGCATGCGACGACCCTGCGAAATCACCGCCGCCAACAACGGCAAAATGAAGGCATATGACATAGGTGAAATTGACCTTAAAGCCGATGACACGAAGTTCACCATCCACATCGGAGATGTCCTCGTCGCTCCAGACCTGCAGTACAACTTGCTCTCCTCGGCACAACTCATGTGGTGCGGAGTAGACATTCGCAGCAACCGCAGGGATAAAACCTTCGAACTCTTCTACAACAACACTTACATAGGCAAGGCAGTAGACGATGATGGAGTATTCGTGCTGCAGTTCTCAGCTCAAGGAACCACTGGCGACTCTGACCGCATGCTGCTGTTAAAAACAACTCCCTCAGAGCCGCCGACATGGTCCCATCCCACGGAAATGGACCTTGAACGACCCGCCTCCAACGACCTCCTGCGCCTGCGCACCGTTCCAACCGCTTCGACCTCCAATACTGCAGAAACTGGACCTGCCACAATGGAAGAAGACAGCGGCACATTAGCAACTGCAGCACCAACCACCGGAGAAAGCGAGACAACTAGAACGGGTTGGAACACTCCCGAGCTTGCGCTTGGTCCCTGGGGAGAAATTCTAACTCCAGAAGAAGCAGCCGCAAGTGGATGGGGCACCGTCTCAGCCGAAGAGGAAGCAGGCACGAGCGAGTGGGGCGCCGTCTCAACAGGAGAGGAAGAAGAAGCAGCTGCGGCTGGATGGGGCACCGTCATGGCACCAGAAGAAGTAGAAGCCGCTGGTGGCGACTGGGGAACCTCAGCCAAAG